TTTTTTCCTTTGCTCTTGAGGTTAAATTATCAGTCTATTTTCAAAAAAAAAATCCTACCCAAAAGAACTTTTCAGGGATGATAGGATAGGGGATGGGCGGGTGATTATAAAACCGAAAATATCAAACATTCACGTCTCTGGCGATTACTTGGTACCTATTGATTTTACAAAAAAATGTTTCAAATAAAAGATGTGCAACTTTATGTGATCTACACTACAATGTTTATCTAAAGACTTTTTTGATTATTAAGGGCCGTTTGAAATTTTATAATGAAAATAATGAAAAGTTAATTATAACAAGTTGTTGTTTTTGATGCCTATAAAAACTGAAAATTTAAAGTAGAAAAAATATTGTTCCTTACACGTGCGCGAAGTAGTTTTCCCGCACTTAAAGTTTATCCGCGTGCGGGAAAACAACTTTGCGCACTGATTAGGAAAATTACTATTATGCTATATTTAATGAGTAGAACACTTACTTTTTTTATTTTAAATTTTCCTCCAACGCGAAATCAGTACCACTATCACTCACGTCGCAAACGTCACACACCTACTACTGTGAATAAATGGAATTTACAACAAATAGTAATTTCTTTCAGCAAAAGGTTGTGAGCAGGCTTAGGTGCGTTGTTGTCGCGTTGGGATTATTTTCCTTGTGTATTGACTACATTTTTTATTTCCTGCGAAATGTTCCCTACCCATATCCATTTACACTTTTTATAACAACAGTATTTAAGAATTTCTATTTTGAAATAAGTATTCATATTTCCCAAAAATCCTTATGTATTTTAAATTTTTCAAATGTAGGTACCTATTTGAGAAACATTCAAAAGTAGGTACCTATTTTAGCAGTACCTGAATTATGTATTATCGATAATTTCAATATATTTTAGAAAGATTAAAACAATGTTAATTAACTATCTATTATTATATTATGCAATTGAACATTTTGAAGTACTTTAGAGCTAAAATTTGAGGCCTCTAGGCCTCTATAATTATTGCCATCACTTTTTTATATGAATTTAAAACTCCTTTTTATACAGGGTGTCACGAAAGGTTTGTTACAAACTTCTAGGGATGGTAGATCTCGTAAAAATAAAACTTTTTTCTTAATAAACATTTGTCCGGAAATGCTTCGTTTTCCAGATATACAGGGTGGCCCAAATTTGAGCCTCATCATTGGGATCTCGGTAACCGTGAGAGATACGGGGTCGGTTAAATTATAGCAAAGTTGCGCAATTTTATGACCAAGAGAATACCGTTTTGAAAATAGAAAGATTCCGAATACTTCCGGAGATATTCCGAAAAAACCAAAATTTTGTAACTTCCTTTTTTTTTCGGCCAAAAAATCAAAGTCAAAATAGTTCCCGGATTTTCTTTGATGACGTCATAGAAGACATCCAAACAAATGTCGGAACCCACTTTTTTCCCCTTAATTTCCCGTTTTTCCAGGATTTTCCTTGTCTTTTCTATATCCCACAAAATGGAAAATCGAAATTTTCCGAATTTTGAAAAAACAAAAATTGCAGTGTATAGAGGAAGTCAAAACAAGCAGAAAAGCTATTTGGCATTTTCCCGTAGGACGTCTCCTAAGCCTGGAAAAAAAATAAAAAATAAAATCTATAGTGGGGCTTTTCCAGCCTGACATGGTCTCATTAAATTGGTCATAACTCTGGAACGCCTGGATCGATTTCAATGAATCATATTTTATTTGAAAGATGATTAAATTTGCTACAAAACAGTTTCATCCAGAATTTCCAGATTTTTCCAGTTTCCTAGTTATAGGCCTTCAAAGTTGAAAATTCCACAATTTTTCATATTCAAATCGGAAGATTAATGGGCCATTACTCTGGAATGCTTTGATCGATTTGAACGAATCATGTTCCATTCGATAGAGGATTTTAATGAGCCTAATTGCATTGAAAATAAACAATTTTTCCTAATTATTTAAACAATTTTAATTATTTTATTAGTGGCGCCATCTAATAATCAAGAGTTTAACTGAAAATTGAAAATTTATTATGACAGAGATCTGTAATTAGCATTTTTTGGCCCCCGACAATTTTGTTGGAAAATTTGCATAATTTATCAATTATTTTATCGGTTTTATTGATTTTTCATGATTTCAATTGCCTTAAACAATAATAATTACTTTATTTTGCATTAAAATCAATTAATTACCATTACAAGAATCTGTAATTGGCAACTTTGGCCGCTTGTTGATAGATGGCGTTGGTAGTTTAAATAATTTGTTTTTTTGAATTATTATTAATTTCAATAATTTTTCTATTGATTACTTACTTTATATGTCTATATTTATCACTTTTTATCAATATTAAAGCACTATTCTCTTATAAATCGAGTGATTATTGTTACAGAAATCTGCAATTTGCAAGTTTGGATACTTGGAGGTTTTATGCAAATGTGAGTACTAATTAGTTTATTTCAATGTTTTTTTCAACTATTAATGGTTTAATAATTATTAACTATTAGTAATTAAGCGTCATTTGTATGAAAATCGCATTAGTTTCATTTAAGTTTTGGCTTCTCGTTAATAGATGGCGCTAGCAACTTTGGTGATTAATTTTTACATTTTATTCGATAATTAATCCATTTTGATAATTTATCTAATCGTCAATCGTCCAAAATAATCATATTTGGCAATAATTGAACACTAATTATTTATAAAAACATTTAAGTTATATTACAGAAATCTGTAATTTGCACTTTTGGCCCCTAACGATTTGATCCAAAATTTTGTTATTTATTTCATTAATTTTAAGGAAGGTATTTATTAATTAAAATTTCAACCCGATTCCAACGTAATTAGTTTTCAATTAAAGCTAATCAAATTATTTACAAATTTTCTGTGAATGATTCCAATAGTTTTGCAAATAGCCTAATATCGCCATCTATTATCATCATGCCTCAAACATTTTGAGCTTAGTACAATAATCATTGTACAATAGTTCCGAAGAAAAATCAACTTTGAACGCTGCAAAGCAATCTACAACGAGGACATGGACAGGAAAATCAAGTTTGTCCTGAGAAAAAACAGGGCCGATCCATTTCCAGGATGCTTATAAATTGTTTATTGTAATAAATTTAGTACATTTAATTAATTAAAAGGGTTCAAGTTTTTATCGCATTCAAACGGGTTCAAATCCTCAGTAAACGGGTTCATTTTGTCGTCATAATCATCAAATGGGTTCTTTTGTGGTCTGATTCTGCCCTCTGATTGGCGCAAACGGGCTTCCGTCACACTAAAACAAAACGTTATTTTTTTTAATTCAAATCAATTATTATAGTAGAAGGTACTTTTGATCCACCACGATTTTTGGTGTTTTCCCTTCAGCAATTCTCAGCCTTCCTTCAGTGATTGGAGGCTTGTAGATGTCCAATTTAGGCTTATTAGATTCAGGTTCGATTAGGATTTTGTAATTGTTAAAAACCCCCCGGCCGAAATATTCAGCTGCAACTGAAAAACCATCATGAGCCTTATCAAGTTGGAAATGGAAAGTTTCGTGCAAGTCTTTGTTGTATTCTCTTGCTTTTAGAAGCTCTATTAGGTTTTTGTTTTCGGGTTGGCAAGTGGGACAGTCGTTTTCGTCGTCGGAAAAAACTCTGGAAACAATGCTGATGGAAACTGTGTCCGCACAGGAAATGGATGTTGGGCAATTCCAAGGGACGATGGCAGGCGGCGCAACGAGACCCTTGTATTCTTGTCACCCCATTGCGAAGTTCGTCCAAGCGCTTTTTCAGTTTCTCGGTATCTTTTTGGTAGTTTTTGGTGAGCTCTGATGTTTCTTGGGTCTTTTTGATTTCTTGTTGGAACTCGTTCATGATGTAGGACCTCATGTGGCCCAATGAGATGCTTGCATTGCCAGTGCCAACTGCGTCGATTACTAGTTGAGGTGAAAATAGTTTTTCTTTGGCTATTACTGTTAGGACCTGGCAAAAGAAAAAATGGTTAATGGTTTGTTAGGTATTACAGTAATCACAAACCATCATGATATCAATGTGAAATTATATATTCTGAATCAGAAATAAATTATCTGCAAGATAAAATAAGATTCAATTCTCTATCTTAACTACTTCTGAAGATATTGAGGCTCAAAGTTGAAACTTTGCCTCAAATTTCACAAAAGATTCAAAGCTGATTTTCTTGAAAACGAAGCTCTTAGGCTGGGAGTCTCAAATAACCTTTTTTGTAGCCCTTATTAAGAGCTACAATTGAGCAAAAGATTCATGCCGATAGCTTCACTGGTTTCCAAAATATGGCCCTTCAAAATATTTGAAAATCAAATTTCCTTTTGGAAAGATTCGATGGAAATATGGCTCAACTTCTATAGTCAATAATGAAATATTTGAGCAAGAATATAGCGGATATACAGGACCTCTTCATTATTACTACACGATCCTCATAATTATGTAGCATGCCAAATCACCACTTGTGACGTAGTACCATGTTATTTCTCGCCTTAACATAGGTTATTTAAACAACTGACGTCGGAAACGGTGACACACCAATATGGCGGCGATTACTATTACTGATAAGGTGTGTATTATCCTTGTCCAATTCCTACTTATTTATTAAAAAATTAACAAAAATTGTAAATATTTGCGTCTTCTTTTTTTTTCTGCAACAAACAAACTGAGTAGGCCTTGGAAAAGCGGCCATTTTCGATTTTACATAAATGACATAAGGGTGGGGGAAACGTCACAAAGCTTCTTCTTTTTTTTTTTTTGAAAAGTGACAGTCGAGTTGTGTCAGTCGTGCCGACAAGATGGAGGGGTCGTCCGCCGCCCAAATTTAAAAAAAATAAACTGGTTTTTTTTAAGTTATAAGTAGTGTTATAATATAAGGCCCTGAGGGTAAGTACCTACTTTGTTTGTTGTCACAATGTATATTTCCTATTTATTTAAAAATCTGGCCAATGAAAACTCATCATTCATTATTAGACTTAGAAGTTATTATTATATATATTACTGTGCAAACAAACCTCATTTAAAAGATCCATGGAAGGTTGTTTGTTGTCTCTAACGCAAGACCACAAAGTTTGAACCCACAATGTTGGGTCCTGATGGCCAAACCTGGTACAGCAAGCCAACACAGAGCTGGGATCATTCCTGGCAATGTGATATCTATATATCATATAGAAACACCTATTAAAATTAAGAAGAGATTTTGTTGTATTATTTACCTTAAAATTTGCTGATACAACTTTTGCTCTTCATACAAATACAAAATCCCTTCGCTAAACGAATGCATATTGCAAACAACCAAAGCGTGAGACTTGTCAAGCCTAATATCCGGATTTTGAAGCAGCTCCAAGACATTTTGAGTCAATTTGTTGCGTTCACTTACAACCTCGACAGTGGCCCAAACGTGCAAATAATGTTCCAACAAAGTGTTGTAAACGGAAGGACTCAGAACGCACCCTTCTCCAATCAAATGCTCCAAAAACTCAACCAAACGCTCGGAATTGTTAAGAAATAAATGAATGAAGTATTCTGGATCAGATTTGCTGAGCATCGAATCGTGATTGGTGCAAAGACGTTTCAGAAACTGCGTACTCTCATAGGGCAGATGTTTAACTAGAATTTGCCCATATTTTTTCATGTAATGATCGGCCAATTCAAATGGCAAATTGCTTATATATTCTAAAACTTCTAGATACTTTTGATGGTCCTCTATTTGAATTTTAATATACCAATCATGTTCTTTGTGCCTTTTGGCCAACATTAAGGCCTCTGCAGGGCTGCCGTGTCTGCAAACTTTAATTGCAACATCTACATCGTAGTTGTCATCTTTTGATTGGATAAACTCCTTAAGGCTGTCGCTTTGTTGGCCAATAGCGTTGTTTAATTTTGTGTAGCAATTGAGTAATAATGTGGTATGATCTTCTGTAGCTTGGCCTTGTTTATGAAGTGCCTAAATATAGAAATTGTATTAAATTAATAATTAAACTACTCAATTAACATACTTGCAAATACATGATTAGTTTTTCCAAGTGTTGAGAATCTACAAACTTGCGTATAACGTAGCTGGGTTCCAATTTGCCAATGGTCTTTATGTATTGCTCAATTGCACCTGCAAAGTCCCCTTTGTCGCACAAGTGGTCCCCATACTGTACAAAAATATCAACCAAACCATCAAGATCATATTGATGGCTTTTAGCAATCCTAATGGCAACGTCGTAGAGGTTTTTCTTGAAAAGTAAAGCCAACTTGGACTGCAAGTCTTTTTCATCTAAATGATACAGTTTGCAGTCTCGGGTGAGGACGAAAAGTGAGCCCCATTCGTGGAAAATGGCTCGTATATTGGACATTTCGCATTGAAATACGATGAATTTGTTGTAAATGTCCAATACAGTGAGCCGGTCTTCGGATTTTTTTGTGCTTTTGGACACTATGATTAAGTAGCTTCTGAAGCATTCTAGGATTGTTTTTTCGCCTTCTACTGCGTAACAGGGACCTTTGCCGTCTGATGTGTAACAGTAGATTGCCTGAAATGAGACTAATTATGACTTCTTAAAGATTTCAAGTCGATCTGATACTCTGAAGTATTTTTCAGGATTTTTCAAAGATGATTTTCCAACTTTTTCTGGTATTAAGTTGGAAAAAACCTCATTATTTTATTTCTGAGCTTCAGATTGACTTCAAATTTGCCTTGTTTGACGAAAACATCCTGGTTAATGAATCCTGAAAGTTTCAAGTCGATCTGATACTCTGAAGTATTTTTCAGGATTTTTCAAAGATAATTTTCCAACTTTTTTAGGTATTAAGTTGGAAAAAACCTCATAATTTTATTTCTGAGCTTCAGATTGACTTCAAATTTGCCTTGTTTGATGAAAACATCCTGGTTAATGAATCCTGAAAGTTTCAAGTCGATCTGATACTCTGAAGTATTTTTCAGGATTTTTCAAAGATGATTTTCCAACTTTTTCTGGTATTAAGTTGGAAAAAACCTCATTATTTTATTTCTGAGCTTCAGATTGACTTCAAATTTGCCTTGTTTGACGAAAACATCCTGGTTAATGAATCCTGAAAGTTTCAAGTCGATCTGATACTCTGAAGTATTTTTCAGGATTTTTCAAAGATGATTTTCCAACTTTTTCTGGTATTAAGTTGGAAAAAAACCTCATTATTTTATTTCTGAGCTTCAAATTGACTTCAAATTTGCCTTGTTTGATGAAAACATCCTGGTTAATGAATCCTGAAAGTTTCAAGTCGATCTGATACTCTGAAGTATTTTTCAGGATTTTTCAAAGATGATTTTCCAACTTTTTCTGGTATTAAGTTGGAAAAAACCTCATTATTTTATTTCTGAGCTTCAGATTGACTTCAAATTTGCCTTGTTTGACGAAAACATCCTGGTTAATGAATCCTGAAAGTTTCAAGTCGATCTGATACTCTGAAGTATTTTTCAGGATTTTTCAAAGATGATTTTCCAACTTTTTCTGGTATTAAATTGGAAAAAACGTCATTATTTTATTTCTGAGCTTCAGATTGACTTCAAATTTGCCTTGTTTGATGAAAACATCCTGGTTAATGAATCCTGAAAGTTTCAAGTCCATCTGATACTCTGAAGTATTTTTCAGGATTTTTCAAAGATGATTTTCCAACTTTTTCTGGTATTAAGTTGGAAAAAACCTCATAATTTTATTTCTGAGCTTCAGATTGACTTCAAATTTGCCTTGTTTGATGAAAACATCCTGGTTAATGAATCCTGAAAGTTTCAAGTCGATCTGATACTTTGAAGTATTTTTCAAGATTTTTCAAAGATGATTTTCCAACTTTTTCTGGTATTAAGTTGGAAAAAACCCCATAATTTTATTTCTGAGCTTCAGATTGACTTCAAATTTGCCTTGTTTGATGAAAACATCCTGGTTAATGAATCCTGAAAGTTTCAAGTCGATCTGATACTCTGAACTATTTTTCAGGATTTTTCAAAGATAATTTTCCAACTTTTTTAGGTATTAAGTTGGAAAAAACCTCATTATTTTATTTCTGAGCTTCAGATTGACTTCAAATTTGCCTTGTTTGATGAAAACATCCTGGTTAATGAATCCTGAAAGTTTCAAGTCGATCTGATACTCTGAAGTATTTTTCAGGATTTTTCAAAGATGATTTTCCAACTTTTTCTGGTATTAAGTTGGAAAAAACCTCATAATTTTATTTCTGAGCTTCAGATTGACTTCAAATTTGCCTTGTTTGATGAAAACATCCTGGTTAATGAATCCTGAAAGTTTCAAGTCGATCTGATACTTTGAAGTATTTTTCAAGATTTTTCAAAGATGATTTTCCAACTTTTTCTGGTATTAAGTTGGAAAAAACCCCATAATTTTATTTCTGAGCTTCAGATTGACTTCAAATTTGCCTTGTTTGATGAAAACATCCTGGTTAATGAATCCTGAAAGTTTCAAGTCGATCTGATACTCTGAACTATTTTTCAGGATTTTTCAAAGATAATTTTCCAACTTTTTTAGGTATTAAGTTGGAAAAAACCTCATTATTTTATTTCTGAGCTTCAGATTGACTTCAAATTTGCCTTGTTTGATGAAAACATCCTGGTTAATGAATCCTGAAAGTTTCAAGTCGATCTGATACTCTGAAGTATTTTTCAGGATTTTTCAAAGATGATTTTCCAACTTTTTCTGGTATTAAGTTGGAAAAAACCTCATAATTTTATTTCTGAGCTTCAGATTGACTTCAAATTTGCCTTGTTTGACGAAAACATCCTGGTTAATGAATCCTGAAAGTTTCAAGTCGATCTGATACTCTGAAGTATTTTTCAGGATTTTTCAAAGATGATTTTCCAACTTTTTCTGGTATTAAGTTGGAAAAAACCTCATAATTTTATTTCTGAGCTTCAGATTGACTTCAAATTTGCCTTGTTTGATGAAAACATCCTGGTTAATGAATCCTGAAAGTTTCAAGTCGATCTGATACTCTGAAGTATTTTTCAGGATTTTTCAAAGATGATTTTCCAACTTTTTCTGGTATAAAGTTGGAAAAAACCTCATAATTTTATATCTGAACTTCAGATTGACTCAGTTGGTACTTTTTGTGTTAAGTATAGGTACTTTTAGTGAATTTTCAAAGAATGACAATATTGAATTCTGAAGTTTGAAGACGCAGAAGTACTCTTAAGGTAAGTGATTTATCAGGATTGACTTTAGACTTGTATTGTTCAATAACTATTTGAAAGTCTGAAGTTTTTCTAACGTCTAAATGTCATTTCCAAATAACAGTTATACCTAAATGCCAGTTATTTTAATGACAATTATACCTAGTTGTCAATTTTAAGTGACAATTACTCACATCATTTCTGGCAACCATAAAGTTACTCTCTTGAGTGAAATCAGCCAATACATTGCAGTACTTGGCACATCCATCAGTGTCTAGAAAGTGCTAAAAAACCAAATAAGAATGTTTCCTATTTAATTAAAACCCAATGACAACCTTTTGCTCTTTATCCTTGTTGGTTATATTATAAACTACAACTTCTCTTTCAGTGCAGACAAAGAGAAAACTATTGTTGGCTGAAATCTTGAATGCCAAGCCTGTAATGCCTTGTAATTCTTTAAAGATTTTCTGTTTGGAGCTTCTGTCTCTTGAAATGTCCCCCCTAAATAAGACTAGTGAGCCATCAGTAAATCCGACAGCTATGAGGTTGTCATTTACAGCTAAGGCACTCACTTGCCTTGCAAGGGCTTTAGTGACCCTAAGACAAAAGGGCGTCCCATTTTTGTCAAATTTGCTCGTGTCCCAGACTTTTATTAGAGGGTTTACACCTGGCTCATCATGCTACAATAATCAATTATGTTCCAAAGTGACAATATTGTCTTTGGTTCTTACCCCTATTGTAACCAATAAAGGTGAGTTTCTCAATTGGTAAGCAAGTTCGATTGAAATCTCATAAGCCCGGTAAGTGACTGTGTGCCAAGACCTGGAAACCAATGATATTTGGCCCAAGGAATCTCCAAAAATTAGGTGGTTATTTCCTGCTGATGTGCAAGTGATTTTGCTTTCCTACAATTATTTTATTAATTAATGAGTCATTTATATGTGTGAATGTACCTTAAAATGGTCGCAAAGGCGGTTCCCGTCTATATTGGGCTTAAGGCTGAAGAAATTGAATTTGCGCCACTGAAAATATTAATAGAATTATTGCATATATTGGGAAAATAATATTGTATTTACCTACCTCTAGAAAAGCCATTATTATTATTTGGGGAGTAGTATTTTAATAGTAA